CCCCAAAACCCCAAAACCCCAAAACCCCAAAACCCCAGTTGTTACCATCTTGATAGAAATAAACCTGATCTCCTCTAACAAAATTTAATAAAGTATAACTAGTATGGGGAAATTAGCTCTCAATGCTTGAGCTAAGAGGTCCGCTATTCTCAAAAGAGAATCCCTTAAAGTTTAGCTCCGAGGATGTGATCCTTTCTTCATCATTATCATTCGCACTCATGTTTGTAAAACTTGAGTCAATATTTCTTAAGTCTGATGAATCTACTAATCAAGGCTGGTAGGGAGGAGACACTTCTCTATGATACACTTTTTCCCAGTCGACGTTTTTGAAAAATTTATGTTCCTTTATTTCTTCGACTCCTTTCTCAGAGCTTCCTAATCTTTCATCAGGGTCGATTTTGAGAAGTCCAGAGATGAGGTCAGATGCTTCTTCTGAGAACCCTGGCAGCATTTCTACAGGCTTATCTGTTATTTGGCTAAATATTTCTTTTCTATTCTTCCTTCTAGACTTAAATGGGTGAGATCCAGACAGCATTTCATAGAGAAGCAGTCCAAGGCACCACCAGTCGACTCTTTTACTATGACCCTTTCCGTTGATTACTTCAGGAGCTAAGTATTCAGGTGTTCCTCAGAAGGTAAACGCTTGATTTCCTCCCATCATCCCTGTTTTAGAGAGACCAAAATCAGTCAACTTAATATGCCCATCTTGATTCACAAGGATATTTTCAGGTTTGAGGTCTCTATAAATAATCCCATTCTCATGTAGATGTTCCAATGCGAGTATGACTTCTGAAGTATAGAATCTAGCTTTGTTTTCTGTAAATCTTCCTTCTTTTTTCATATGGAAATGTAATTCGCCCCCGTTGAGAAAGTCAAGTACAAAATATAATTTATTTATCAGTTTGGAAAGCCCGATGCATTTTGACGATGAATGGATGATCTATCTTGCTCATAACATTTCTCTCGTTAGTGATGTGGTCTTTCTGTTTATTTATCAACAATATTGCTTTTCTTTAAAACCTTAATTGCAAATAATTCGTCTTCGCTCTTATTTTGAATCCCTTGTTTTCTAAGTTTGGCAAGATACACCTTTCCAAAACTACCAGTGCCAATAACCTTCAAGAACTCATAATCTTTTGTAACGAGGGGTTCTTTCCCAGCTACCATACTCCTCCCCATTCCTGGACTATTAGCTTCTATAATACTCTAAGATCCCTCACCATCCAACCAAAGCCACACCTCCCCAATCTCCCTCTTCACCCTCACAACTCCAATCCCATTCCTTACTCTTATAAGGAAGCTCTTTCACCTCCGGCCTGATTCACACACAACAAGTCCCCATTAAAGATAATTTTCTATAACTATTAGCAAAATCGGGGTTTTGGGGTTTTGGGGTTTTGGGG